AATGAAGTAAAACTATCTTTACTTGTAGATAATATAATTCTGTATGTAGAAAATTCTAAGGAGACCACAAAAAAATTACTGGAACTCATAAACAAAGTTTAACAGGCTCACTGGATACAAGGTCAGTATACAAAAAGTAATTGTATTTCTATACATTAGCAACAACCAATCCAAAAGTAAAATTAGGGAAGTGGTTTCATTTACAGTACGTCAAAAAGAATAAAATATTTACAGATAAATTTAATAAAAGCAGCAAAAGATCTTTCCACTGAAAACTATAAAACATTACTGAGAGGAAAAAGATGTAAAATGGAGAGATAGTCCATGTTCATGCTTTAGAATATTTGATATTATCAAGATGGCAGTTCTCTCCAAATTTATTTATAGATTCAGTGCAACTCCTATTAAAATATCAGCAGGCTTTTTTTTAAAGAAACCAACAGGCTGATCCTAAAATTTACATGGGGATGTAGTGGCCCAAACAATTTTGAAAAATGAAGAGCCATGTTGGAGGATTCATGCTGTCTGATTTAAATCTTAGTATAAAGTTATAGTAATCAAGACAGTATGATTTTGTAAAGGACAGGTGTATAAATCAGTGGAACAGAAATGTATCATAGACCTAACTCTAAGATCTAACACTATAAAACTCTTAGAAGAAAACATAGGAAAAAAACCTTTGTGATCTTGGGCCAATCAAAGAGTTATTTATTAGATAACACCAAGAACACAGCTATAAAAGTGATAAATTTAATTTAAAATTACAAGTGATAAAATTTAAAACTTCTATGCTTCCAACGACACCTTTTAAGAAAATGAAACAACGAGGCACAGACTGGGAGAAAATACTTGTGAGTCATATATCCAGTAACAAGATTTCTGTTGCTTCTTGGTCTTTTGGCTAAGATCAAATGTAGTAACAAAAATTCCATCAAGAAAATAGGCTCGGTATGGTGGCTCACTTCGGGAGGCCAATGCAGGAGGATTACTTAAGGCAATCAACTTGGCAAAAACATTTATGAGACAATTGGGGAAAATTTAACATAGGCTGGGTATCAGATGATGGTTAAGGAATTAAAATACTGGCCAGGCGAGGTGGCTTATGCCTATAATCCTAGTAATCTGGGAGGCTGAGACCTGAGGATCACTTGAGGTCAGGAGTATGAGACCAGCCTAAGCAAGAACAAGACCCTGTCTCTACTAAATATAAAAAAATTAGCTGGATGTGGTGGTGTGCGCCTGTAATCTCAGCTATGGGAGGGTGAGGCAGGAGAATCACTTGAGTCCAGGAGTTTGAGGTCGCTGTGAGCTAGGCTGACACCATGGCACTCTAGCTTGGGCAATAGAGCAAGAGTCTGTCTCCAAAAAAAAAATTAGCCAGGTAACTAAAAGTAGAAAAAAATCAGCTGGGCACAGTGGCATGCACCTGTAGTCCCAGCTACTCGGGAGGCTGAGGCAGGAGGATTGCTTAAGCTCAGGAGTTTTAGATTGCTCTCTATGAGCTAGGCTGATGCCATGGCACTTTAGCCTGGGCGACAGAGCAAGACTCTGTCTCCAAAAAAAAAAAAAAAAAGAAAGGAATTAAAATTAAATACTTATGAGAAATGTGTACAGAAATATTTATAGGTAAAATAGTATGTCTGGAATTTGCTTTAAAATACTCAAACAAAAGGGGAGGAATAGATGAAATAAAAAAAGCAGGATAGGTAAATGTTGAAGTTTAATGATAGTATGTGTGGGTTTTGTATATTATTTACTCTTGTGTATATTTGAAGTTTTATTTTTCTTTATATTATTATTTTTTTTTTAGTAGAGACAGGGTCTTGCTATGATGCCCAGAGTGGTCTTGAACTCCTGGGCTCAAGCATCTCGCCCTTCTTGGCCTCCCAGGGTGCTGGGATGACAGGGATGAGCCACTGCGCCTGGCCCCATATATTTGTAGTTTTCCATAATAAGTTAAAAAAAAATTAAGTTGAGAACTTGACCATTATGGGAAAAGCCTTTAAGAAATCATTAAGGAAAGTGGGTAGTGGTATTACATAATTACTTGTTTCAGCCCGATACCAGTCCATACTTTGTATACCTTGCAAAAATCTAGTTCTTTCATTACTGCCATGCAAAAGTTGTCTTGAATAGAGATTTAAGAGCAGAGGCAGACCTTTCAGTCTTCATGTTCGACCACATGCTAGTAGGTACTCATTAGCTTTCTGATGCTCCTGGATTTCCAAAATACACATGGATCTCTTAGAGCCCACATAAGTAGTGTGCTGTTTATAACCGTTAACATTTCTAAATGTGAATCAGCACCATCTTCCCCTCATGCGAATTCTCATACACAGCACAGCCTTCTCCTTTGTGAATGGTATCTGCCTCTTCCTCAGTGTGAAAGGTCCCAGGATTTATAACTGCTTTTTTTAGGGGTATAAAAATTTTACAGTTCTTAAATATATACACTTTCAATGATTATGGTGAATGATATACCAAGGATGTGTTCTTATTTTGTTTATTCATTATTTTCTCCTTTTTCCATTTTTCAGTACATGTACTAGCCTTAGCAAGTTCTGTTCCAAACTCAGGCACCTTGACTTGGCTTCCTGTACGTCAATAACAAACATGTCACTAAAAGCTCTGAGGTAAATTTCTTACAATAAGCATGTACAGTAATCAGAAAAATTATGTACTTTTTAAAATAATTGAAATAAAGTTGGAATTGAAGGCAACTGTGTTTTATGGATATATACTAGAGTTTAGAATAGGTGTTTTGTTTTACTGCTTACCCAAATAACAATTATAGGACATATTAAAGTGAAATGACTAGAGGTAACTAGGATTTCTGAACAGAGTAGTATAGCTTATACATGAATGATTAGATTTTTATGAAGGCTTGTTTTCAAAAAAAGAAAAAAATAGCACTTGTTATTATAGCTTAGTGATTAAAACAGGGTTCTAGAGCCAGGTTATTAACAAGGTTTAGTAAGCAAACATAACCCTACTGAACTTTTTAAAAACAAGATAATTTAAGGCTAAACCATGCAAAGTTGTGCCAATATTTGACAGTTTTTTGTGTTATAAAAACGACAGCTTGGCCGGGCGCGGTGGCTCACGCCTGTAATCCTAGCTCTCTGGAAGGCCGAGGCGGGCAGATTGTTTGAGCTCAGGAGTTCGAAACCAGCCTGAGCAAGAGCGAGACCCCGTCTCTACTAAAAATAGAAAGAAATTAATTGGACAACTAAAAGTACATAGAAAAAAATTAGCCGGGCATGGTGGCGCATGCCTGTAGTTCCAGCTACTCGGGAGGCTGAGGCAGGAGGATTGCTTGAGCCCAGGAGTTTGAGGTTGCTGTGAGCTAGGATGACGCCACAGCACTCTAGCCCGGGCAACACAGTGAGACTCTGTCTCAAAAAAAAAAAACAAAAAAAACCCGACAGCTTAATGTGGTTCAACCTACTATATGTAAAGTGCTTTAAAAAGGTTTTTAGCACATAGTAAACAATTAATATATCTTACTTTAATGTTCATGTGTTTTTTAAAGCATGTTACAGATGATGTATCTTAAAAGGAAAGTGAAATGCTCATTTTCTTTGGAAACTTCTCTTTTAATCAGCTTTTTATAAATGATTATGGCCTGACCTATTGGCTGCATTTATGCATAGTAAAAATTAAGCTATTAAAAGAAGAATATAGATTTAGTTAAGTAGAGTATAAGTAATCTAAAAATATGGTTCCTTTGAGACCTTCCTTGTGAATATTGAATACATTTATCTTAGACTGTTTCCCATATAGGATAATAAATTTGATAATGTAACAACTATCATTTATAAAATATTTTCACATAAATTATCTCATTTATTTGAAGGTCTTGTGAGGTACGTAGGGCAAGCATTTTACAAATCTAAAAAGAAAATCTAAAAAGTTGTCGAGTCCCAGGTATTATTGCGGCCTTTAAGTTGCTCAGAGTCAAGTGGGAGGAAAAAAACTACTAAACATATATTATGTGATAAGTACTATGAAAGAAATGAGTGCATCTGTTTTGGGAAAACATAGAACGGGCTATGGCTAAACTTGGACTAAGAGAAGTTCAGACAGTCTTCCTAAAATGACTTGCCTAAAGTCAGACTATTAATGTTGAAGAATGAACTTGAACCTAGATCTCCTGACTTTATCTTCTGGGTCTTTTCTATAGGCAAGAATATTTAAAATAATTTAGTCACTATTTTCTGAAAAATGTCATAGAAAGCTTGGGGTTTCTCCCTGGTCTAAATGTGAAACTAAACTGATAAGAGCAGAAGGGATCGAAGATGAAGCTGGTATTTTGAAGACAGATTGAACGCAAGATACTGTAGATTCAGCCTACAGAAACAGTATTCTAGAAATGTTTCAGATGAGGAAATATACAGAGCCTTTATAAATTCTTAAAAGTTTAAAAGTCCTCATTATTACTTTGATACTGCAGATTGAATGTCTCTAATCTGAAAATCTGAATTACTCAAATCCCAAACTTTTTGAGCGCCAACATGACGCTCAAAGGAAATGCTCACTGGGGCATTTCAGATTTGGGATGCTCAACTGTGTAAGTATAATGCAAATGTTCCAAAATCTGAAATCCAAAACACTTCTGATCCCAAGCATTTCAGATAAGGGATACTTAGTTTGTAATAGCACTACATGATGGAGAATCTGGGTTTGAATCTGAACTCTGATTAATCCATGGCCTGTCAAGAGACCTTTGAGATATGTGATCAGTGCAAAAAGAATATAAAAATATTTTGAAAAGTATAAACCTCCATAAAAAGTCTCATATATCTGAAAGACAGTATTGTGCTTTGTGCTTGTTGATTAAGCTGCATTTGAGAAGACCCTGTTAAGGATATAATCCCACATGAGCACGATAGATGTTGATAAATCAGCTTTTTTGTGTGTGTGCTATGGGAGTGCCTATATTCACATTAAGTAAATATATTCTTGTGGGGGAGAATGGTACTATATCCATTCCTTTATTAAATAGCCAATAAAATGAGACTTTGGTGCCTTTGGAATTGGATTTAGTGATATGTTTGTCTCATTTTGTTTTATCCTAAGTGAGGGATGTCCACTGTTGGAGCAGTTGAACATTTCCTGGTGTGACCAAGTAACCAAGGATGGCATTCAAGCACTAGTGAGGGGCTGTGGGGGTCTCAAGGCCTTATTCTTAAAAGGCTGCACGCAGGTAATACTCCATGTAGTGCTTGTGAAATTCCAAGGAACCATGAGCTCTTTGTAGGCAGCCTCAAGGTATTTGTCTTGAGGGAAATGTTAGTTGTGTGTATTATTGACCAAAGATACACACTTACCAAAAATTAAAATGTTTTCCTTAGAATAAAAGAATGAGAAGAATTAACATCTGGCCAACAATAAATTTGGGGTGGGGGCAAGGTGGGGATATAACATACTGAGGACAAACCATAAGCAAAGAGTTTCATGCAGTTAAATTTGTACTGAAAAGAAAACTTGTCATGTTGTTACTGCTGATACTTTGTACCGGATAGGCAAAGAAGGCAGTCTTGGCAGTTTTCACTTGTTTTTTTTAACCACCAGGAGTTTTTCTTAAATGTGGCAAGTATACAGCAACCTGCGTTTTATAGCGTCGATGCTTATTTCCTGCCAGTGACATTACAAAGCCAACATATTTTGTCATTAAAAACTTTACTATCTCAGTGTTCTACAGTGAAAAAAGGAATTGACTAGATAATGCCTGGAAAGAAATGAACAAGGGTAGATTTAAATGTAATTGACAAAGTAGGGCTAGACTCTACCTTATTTTATTAATGGTAACTAAAACCGTAACATGGATTCCATTAAAAATGCCTTCATTCTTTTACCATGATGGGATGGGTTCTATCGTTTGAAGCAGAGCTTGGATATACGACTGTCTTAAAACAACAGCTTGAGCTTCTGGTTATTTATGGAATCCTGAAAAATATTGATTGGAATGCATCATTATCATCAATTACTTACCATCTGCTCTCAGCACTGTAAGCATGACGATAGAAGTGTGAAGATTATTTTAGCTTCATAGTCCCTCAACAAAATGTTGTGTGGTATATTTATAAGAAGTAAAATCCATAAAAACTAGGCAACGTTAATTTCATCTTTTCCTTGATTTGATGATAATATGAATTTGAATGTGGCCAGAACTCATTCTAAAAATACTGATAACCATGCTAATAATATGAATTACACTGTTATGTGGTCATAGTTCATTGTTTGGTGTTAATTGTCCCTTTGAAACTTGGTTTGCTCTATTTAGAATGTATTGATGAATGTGTACATTCTTAAATCTTTCTCCTTTGAAACAGTATCAGTAATCACTTTTTCTCTTTTTTAATCTTTCCAGCTAGAAGATGAAGCTCTCAAGTATATAGGTGCACACTGTCCTGAACTAGTGACTTTGAACTTGCAGACTTGCTTGGTAAGCATCCCTTCCCACAGCTCTTCTGTTTTAGTAATTCATTTCAGTAATATTATAATAGGAGTTTTAGTCATCAAGACCAGTGGTTTTTCCACTACAACCCTAGGTACACAGTAGACACACAGATGACTGACTACATGTTTGACAACACTCACTCCTAGTGGCTTTGACATAAATTAAGATAGAGGGCAGCTCTTGAAGAATTCCAGATGAGCAAACTGTAACTCCATCCCTTTCTTATCTCCTTAAAAAAACTGTCTACTTTTTCAAAGTAGATTATTCCAAAACTTCAGTATTTAAAATTGCAGTCACACTTTATAACCGATTGAGATGTGTCAGTGGGTCACAACTGTGGAGAACCACTGCTATAAAAGACAAGCAATATGTACTCTTTTTTTTTTTGAGAGTAGTCAAGTACAGTAGTGAAAAGCGGGGAAAGTAGTAGAGCAAAGAGTCGATCTGTAACTGACTATGAACAATCAAGTAAGATAACTCACTACCTTCGAGCCAGCCGTACTTTTGCAGTTATTAAGTAGTATCTGTCTGTATTTAGCATTTTGACTTGTTCAGATTATCGCCCTTTTTGTGTCTACCCCTTAAACCCCTGGATTTTACTCAGATAATTTGCTGAAACTTTTCAGGGGCCTAGAACATTAAGAATATACCTTCAGCTTCTCTCTCTTTCCTTGAAAACTACATACATATGTTGCCTTGGAGTGAAAGCTCCTCATAGCAAAGAAAAAAGGAGATGAGGATTTTTCTTGTTTATGCTAAGCCTTCTGCTTGTTTTGCCCTTATCTTCCTGTTTGATCACTTGGAATTTGAGCGCATAGTGATTGTTTAGGTTAAAGGTGATATGTAAAAGGCCACATTTTACAAAATTTAAGCAACCTGCCTTTGAGGGAAGGTGCCAATAATGATTTACGTAGGAAACTCGTCAAGATTGAGTTACTAATAAAAGGGGTGACATTCCTTTATTTTTAAAAAAATTTTTTTCAGCCGGCGCAGTGGCTCACACCTGTAATCCTAGCACTCTGGGAAGCCGAGGCGGGCGGATTCCCTCAAGGTCAGGAGTTCGAGACCAGCCTGAATAAGAGCGAGACCCCGTCTTTACTAAAAATAGACAGAAATTAGCTGGACAACTAAAAATATATATAGAAAAAATTAGCCGGGCATGGTGGCATATGCCTGTAATCCCAGCTGCTCGGGAGGCTGAGGCAGAAGGACTGCTTAAGCCCAGGAGTTTGAGATTGCTGTGAGCTAGCTTGAGGCCACAGCACTCTAGCCAGGGCAACAGAGCGAGACTCTGTCTCAAAAAAAAAAAAAAAATTTTTCAACATCACTCAATTAACAAACCAGTGTACTTCCTTTTAATTCCGACCATCCGTTCTTTATAATTCTGATTGCTGGAGTTGCTGACTACCAGAATTTGCCTTATTTCATTTTAAGACTGAAATGTTTACCCTGAGAGAGCAAGCACAACTCTTATAGACATGAAACCATCATCTTACAGTGCTAGAAAAAAGCTGTTCTTGCACAGCTTCAAATGTTTGTATGTGTATATATGTACATACACATAAATACATACATATCATTTGTGGATTTAGTTGGTTTTCCTTCATCCTTCTAGCAGGCAGAAATCACAGTTGGTAAACATAGAGAACTAGTTCTATATGTCTATTTTATTTTCCTTCACCTAAATCTTACTATAGGGGTCATTCTTTCCCAGTGTGACAAAATGATTTTCAACATTCATGAGATTTTATGTTCTGCCCAAAACTATTGAAATGACTAAAGTATATTCTTGGTTTATTCCTTTTGTTAACTGATTTGAAAACATAAACGTTTAGTAAATTTTATTATTATTAAAACTTAAAGTATTGACAATATTACTTTCCTCGTTTTTCTTCCTCATTTCTCTCTCATACACTTTATTATTATTATTTTTTTTTTTTTTGAGGCAAGAGTCTCACTCTGTTGCCCTGGCTAGAGTGAGTGCCGTGACGTTAGCCTAGCTCACAGCAACCTCAAACTCCTGGGCTCAAGTGATCCTACTGCCTCAGCCTCCCGAGTAGCTAGGGTACAGGCATGTGCCACCAGGCCCAGCTAATTTTTTCTATATATTTTTTAGTTGTCCAGATCATTTCTTTCTATTTTTTTTAGTAGAGACGGGGTCTCTCGCTCTTGTTCAGGCTGGTCTCAAGTCCTGAGCTCAAACAGTCCACCTGCCTCGGCCTCCCAGAGTGCTAGGAATACAGGCGTGAGACACCACGTCCGGCCTTCTCATACACCTTAAAACATAAAAAGGAAAGGGCAGCATAGCCCTGTAATACTTCTCTAATATTGTATGGCACAGATTCCTATTCCTGCTTCATCTTTCTTAACTACCCTAGTCTAGTAATAACAAACATCACATTTGTGTGGCACTTTTTCAGGTTCTTGAGCCCAGGGGTTTGAGGCCCTAGTGTACTATGATTGTACCTGTGAATAGCTGCTGCACTCCAGCCTGGGCAACATAGCAAGACCCCATCTTAAAAAAAAAAAAAAGATATTGAGAACATGCTGATTTAAACAGTCAATATTAAAAATTTGAGTTTTTTTTTCCCCCAGTTGTCTTTGCTGCTTAAGGATGCTCCTTGATTAAAAGAGATGACCGGAGAGCTTAATTTTTAAGCCTATACAAAATCAGTGAATCTGGCAGGACAAATGAAAGTCCTAATAGGATACACCATGTTAAGATGTTTATATATAACTCTTTTTTTAAAAAAAAGATGAGATCTCCATGTTGTCTGGGTTGGCCTGCCTCCAACTGCTAGGCTCAAGTGAACCTCTCACCTCAGCTTCCTGAGTAGCTGGGACTACAGGCATGTGTCATGGTGCCTAGCTTGTAACATTTTTTTTTTTTTTTTTTTTTTTTGAGACAGAGTCTCACTGTGTTGCCTAGGCTAGAGTGCCATGGCGTCATCCTAGCTCCCAGCAACCTCAAACTCCTGGGCTCAAGCGATCCTACTGCCTCAGCCTCCCGAGTAGCTGGGACTACAGGCATGCACCACCATGCCCGGCTAATTTTTTCTATATATTTTTAGCTGTCCGATTAATTTCTTTCTATTTTTGGTAGAGACGGGGTCTCGCTCTTGCTCAGGCTGGTCTCGAACTCCTGAGCTCAAACAATCTGCCCGCGTCGGCCTCCCAAAGTGCTAGGATTATAGGCGTGAGCCACCGCGCCCGACCGTAAGGTTTTTTTTTAAATGTAACATCTTTGAATGTGTGTTATTTTTCATTTTAAAATAATTTAAAACAAGATCATTTAAGTTTGTTTTTTTGTTTTTTGTTTTTTTTGAGACAAGATCTCTGTTGCCTAGGCTAGAGTGCAGGGATGTCATTGTAGCTCACTGCAACCTCAAACTCTTGGACTCAAGTGATCCTAAATAATTTTTTAAATAGTGCAAAGTTATATCTGAGTTAGACACAACTGTTTATCTCCACAAATTAGGATGTTCTTTATGTTATAAAACTAAGATATACAAATAAATAAATACTGTAACTGATATAAGATTGCAACTGTCATCCACAGTTTGTTTCAATTTTTTCTACTAACTTGGTATCAATTTAAACTTGTAAATATGTTTATACTACTAAAATACGGTTGTCCTTATGTTTTCTAGGTTTTAAAATTGTTTAATTGAACCTATACCATGATGTGCCCCATGCTGTTGCCAGTCCCATTAGAATCCCATTATAGCTTTTAACAGGATACCATTATAGCTTCTTCCCTTAACAACAAAAGTGAGCATAGATTCTCTTGCAAACTAAATCAAAAAGTGGCTCACGCCTATAATCCTAGCACGCTGGGAGGTAGAGGTGGGAGGATCGCTTGAGGTCAGGAGTTGGAGACCAGCCTGAGCAAGAGCAAGACCCCGTCTCTACTAAAAATAGAAAAAATTAGCCAGGCGTGGTGGCGCGTGCCTGTAGTCCCAGCTACTCGGGAGGCTAATGCAGGAGGATCATTTGAGCCCAGAAATTTGAGGTTGCTATGAGCTAGGTTGACACTAGCTGGGCACTCGAGCCCAGGTGACAGAGCAAGGACTCCGTCTCAAAAACAAACAAAAAAAGAAAGTAGAAGGAAGAAACAAAGTGTGTTTGTTTTCATTTTAGGTCTGCTATCTGATTAAACCTATCTGGATTTCTTTTTGGTACTTATTTTCACAGAGGTATCATTTTTTGCTTATTTTTCTTCTACTAAGATACTGATGTCTGTGGTTTTTTTTTTGCTCTTGTTTTTTTAGCAAATTACAGATGAAGGTCTCATTACTATATGCAGAGGTTGCCATAAGTTACAGTCCCTCTGTGCCTCTGGCTGCTCCAACATCACAGATGCCATCCTGAATGCTCTAGGTCAGAACTGCCCACGGCTTAGGTAAACATTTCTTGTTTAGCTCAAAAAAAATCAGAGAAAAGGAACAAAAGTCTCCTTCACCCATATTTATTCCTTGGAATTTTAAAATTTTGTGGTAGACACTACAGAGCCACTACCCTTTTAGATGCCCACCTACTTGCTTTGTACCTCATTTGATTACATGTAATTGGCATGAACCAAGGGGTGACAGTCCTCAAAGTCTATTACTTGCTAACCATACTAGAAAAAAAGATTAACATTTTATTTCATTACTTGAGAAAGAAACAAAAGTATTTTATTAACGCTTTTATATAATTTTATATAATAAAATTCCTTTCTCAAAAAGTTTTTAAAGGCCCACACTGAGGTCATTTATATTGTAATAATGATTCCAGGTACATAAAAGGGAGTACTATATTTGAAAAGAAAAAAAATCCTTGCAGGAGGACCTCTTTTGTACTGATGGTCTTTCAGAACAGCCTCATTTCTCTATGGCTCCTCCTCAGCTTGACTATGGGATTCACTGGATATTTGCTAAGAATGCTACGTTAGTATGCACGTGGTGTCAAACCCATGTTGATTCTGTAGGCACACAAGATGGTATTTTGTAATGAGTAGGGATGATCCCCATATACCTTTTTTGTTTTTTAAAACAAAACTTATATAACACTTGTAAGTTTGACATCGTTTTATTAGGTGCTTCACAGATATTAATTTATTTAATCTCTATACCACCATATAAGCACTTTTTTATCTCCGTGTTATAGATGAGAATACTGAAGCACCAAGAGGTTAAGTAACCCTTTCAAGCTATCACAACTAGTAAGTGTAGGAGAAAGGAGTCAAACCCAGGCTGCAGACCCATAAAACCATTTTTCTTACATATAATAGTCATTGTAAAGTAATCAGACTTTCTGTTTTGATTATCACCTGGCCTAATCATAATTGTTAAAAGAACTTTTTCCTACAATATCAAAATTCCTTAATAGATGGTAGACTTGTTGGTCAAAATTAGTAATACCAGAAGCCTAGAATAGAGTACTTCTCAGGAGCTCAGAAGGTAACCAAACTTCTCTCTAAAAATAGTACACATTATTCCTTTATATTTTAGAGAGAGGGGTCTTCAGCTCTGTCTTTCTGTATGATTCATTATATTGTTAGAATAGAAAGGCTCTTAAAAGTTGTGTTGCAGTCATATCATGCTCTCCCATTAGATATAGCAGTCATTTCTAATTGATTTTCAGTTGATAATGATTTCTTTAGCTTTAATTTTTTTCAACTTCTGTAGTAATATGTAAGCAAACATGTTAAATGTTCTTTGCTACCATTGTACAGAGGTCATCAGACTTTTCACAGAAAAGAGCTGCTTTTGGTTTCCCAGCCCTGTGTTTGGTATTTAAGTTGGTGTTTAGCAGTTGCTGAATAATAGGAGAACTGCTGCCAGCTCAGCTTCCCTCTCACTGGGCCTCTCTGGGAGCATGTGGGAGGAGGCAGGAAGCTTTCATAAATCTGGAATTTCATATTTGGGACAAACCTGTAATTAAGCTGTCCCTTCACATTTTTAAAAAGCTATTTAAATCTGAGTGAACCTACATCTAAAACAGGGAAAGAAAATAATTTACTTCGGCAACAGATTAACTGAAATAGAGTATTTTATCTCCATTTCCTTTGTTTTCTAGGAGCAGGCTGCCCTCTGGGGGTAAGCGGTATGCCATCAAGAAGGCTTTTAATGCATTTCATGCATTTTGACTTTAACTACAAGCTTCAATTATATTCTTCTGTGTTCTTTGATTGTATCATCCTGAAATGTGGTATTTATAGCACCACTTTATGATGACTCCATAAAAATGAGTGGCGAGATCTGTATACAGACTTGCTTAGCTGTTAATGTCATTCTATATTATAAAGTCGTTAGGGAACAGGAGATTATTTTCTTAAATTCTTGTTGTTTTAATAAACCCAGTTTTCAGAGACTGAGAACGTGACTTTCACTTTCTTTTTTTTAACAGAATATTAGAAGTGGCAAGATGTTCTCAGTTAACAGATGTAGGCTTCACCACTCTTGCCAGGGTAAGTATTTCCATTGGATTCCATAGGTTTTGTTAGGGATTTTTATTTCTTTTTTTATGCATGTATTTTTTATTTTATTTTAATCCATTTAAGGAGTACAAATGGCTTTTTGTTACATGGATGAATTGTATAGTGGCGAAGTCTAGACTTTTAATGTACCCATCACCTGAAGTGTTCATTGTATCCAAGAGGTAATTTTTCATCCTGTACCCCCCCCCCACCAGCCTGCCTCTTTTGAGTCTCCAGTTTGCATTATGTCACTCTGTATGACCATAGATACCCATTGCTTAGCTCTCGTTTATAAGTGAGAACATGAGGTATTTGGGTTTTTGTTCTTGGGTTACTTCACTTAGAATAATGGCCTCCAGTTCATCCAAGTTGCTGCAAAAGACATTATTTCAGTCTTTCTCATGGCTGAGTCGTATTCCATGGGTGGGTGTGTGTGTGTGTGTGTGTGTACACACCACATTTTCATATATCTACTCATCAGTTAATGAGCATTTAGGTTGGTTCCATGTCGTTACAGTTGTGAATTGTGCTGCAACAAACATATGAGTGGTGTCTTTTTTTATAAAATGACTTCTTTTCCTCTGGGTAGATTCCCAGTAGTGGGATTGCTGGATTGAACGGTAGATCTACTTTTAGTTCTTTGAGAAATCTCCATACTGTTTTCCATAGAGGTTGTACTAATTTGCATTCCCACCAACAGTGTTTAAGCTTTCCCTTTTCACCTCATCCACACCAGCGTCTGTTATTTTTTTATGTTTTAGTAATGGCCATTCTGACAGGGGTAAGGTGGTATCTTGTTGTGGGATTTTCCATTTCCTTGATGATTACTGATGTGGAGCATTTTTAAATATATTTGTTGGCCATTTGTTTCTCTTCTTTTGAAAAATGTCTGTTTACATCTTTTGCCCATTTTTTTTTTTTTTTTTTTTTTGGAGACAGAGTCTCGCTTTGTTGCCCAGGCTAGAGTGAGTGCCGTGGTGTCAGCCTAGCTCACAGCAACCTCAGACTCTTGGGCTCAAGCAATCCTTCTGCCTCAGCCTCCTGAGTAGCTGGGACTACAGGCATGCGCCACCATGCCCAGCTAATTTTTTTATATATGTATTTTTTTTAGTTGTCCAGCTAATTTCTTTCTCTTTTTTTAGTAGAGATGGGGTCTCGCTCTTGCTCAGGCTGGTCTCGAACTCCTGAGCTCAAACGATCCACCCGCCTCGGCCTCCCAGAGTGCTAGGATTATAGGCGTGAGCCACCGTGCCTGGCCTTTTGCCCACTTTTTAATGTTTTTTTTTTTTTTTCTTGCTGATTTGTTTGAGTTCCTTATAGATACTGGATATTAGTCCTTTGTCAAATATATAGCTTATGAATATTTTCTCTTATTCTGTAGGTTGTTTACTCTGTTGATTATTTCTTTTCCTGTGCAGAGACTTTTTCATTTAATTAAATCCCATTTATTTGTTTTTATTTTTGTCTCATTTGCCTTTGGAGTCTTAGTCATAAATTCTTTACCGAGGCCAATGTCAAGGATAGTGTTTCCTTAGTCTTCTAGTATTTTTATGGTTTCAGGTCTTACATTTAAATCTTTACCCATACTGAGTTAATTTTTATGTATGGTGAGAGAAAGGGATCCAATTTCATTCTTCTGCTTGAGGCTATCCAATTTTCTCAGTACCATTTATTGAATAGGATGTCCTTTCCCCAGTGAATGTTTTTGTCTGATTTCTCAAAGATAAGTTGGTTGTAGGTATTTGGCTTATATTTCTGGGTTCTCTATTCTATTCCATTGGTCTATGTGTCTGCCTTTATACCCATACCATGCTGTTTGGTTACTATATAGCTTTGTAGTATAATTTGAAGTTGGGTAATGTGATGCCTCCAGATTTGCTCTTTTTGCTTAGGATTTCTTTGGCTATTCGTGCTCTTTTTTAGTTCCATATGTATTTTCAGATTGCTTTTTCTAATTTTGTGAAAAATGATGTTGGTATTTTGGTAGGAATTACAATGAATATGTAGATTACTTTGAACAGTATGGACTTTTTTTTTTTTTTTTGAGACAGAGTCTCACTCTGTTTCTCGGGCTAGAGTGCCGTGGCATCAGCCTAGCTCACAGCAACCTCAAACTCCTGGGCTCAAGCAATCCTTCTGCCTCAGTCTCCTGAGTAGCTGGGACTACAGGCACATGCCACCATGCCTGGCTAATTTTTTCTAGTTTTTGTAGAGACAGGGTCTTGCTCTTGCTCTGGCTGGTTTCAAACTCCTGACCTCAAGCAATCCCCCTGCCTTGGCCTCCCAGGGTGCTAGGATTACAGATGTGAGCCACTGTGCCCAGCTTACAATTTCTTTCATCAGTGTTTTATAGTTTTTGTTTTTGACACTTTATCTTCAATGAAACTTCACCAGCAGGATGGGATTTTTATTTCAGAAGAATGGGTAACAAAGGAAATATAGAATAGTAGCAGAATTGGGAGTGCAAAAAACGAGGCAGAACTCTTGTATGGCTGGTGTTCCTGAGCATTCTCACGATATAGCTACAGACTCGCTGATGACCAATAAGAATACAAATTGCTCTGGAAATGCAGACGTGCCTTGGAGAATATGACACTCCTTCATGAGACTTGATTCTCCACAATTTCATAAGATGATAAAATAAGCAGGGATGTCTTAGTAGTCTGTGAAAGAAACTTACTTGGTTATTTGTTATGTAACTGGTGGATAAGAAAAAGAAACACACAAATCTGGTTTTAAGTGGAGAGGTTTTAAGAGATTTTCTGTATTCTCCTGAAGATTTTAATACTTAGAGTAGTTTATAAGTTACTATATAGTAATAGTATTTAAAATTATACGAACTTTCACCAGTGTTATGAAACAGGGAAGGTCATTTCGCTTTCAGACAGATTGATGGGATACTAATTGGGTAGGAGCCAGCACATGGCATAAAACTTGCTTTCCTCCCTTCAAAAGAAACAATTTTCATCAAGTTATTTATGGTTGAAAGAATCTCTATATTAGCCCAATATTAATGTTCAGCAAATTTATTCCCTGGCAGTTCTAAAATGTTAGATACTTTAAATGTGAAATAATTGAGAAATTTAGGCCGGGCGCGGTGGCTCACACCTGTAATCCCAAGCACTCTGGGAGGCTGAGGCGGGAGGATCGCTTGAGCTCAGGAGTTCGAGACCAGCCTGAGCAAGAGTGAGACCTCGTCTCTACTAAAAATAGAAAAAAAATTAGCCAGGTATGGTTTCACGTGCCTGTAGTCCCAGCTACTCGGGAGGCTGAGGCAGGAGGATCTCTTGAGCCCAGGACTTTGAGGTTGCTGTGAGCTAGGCTTATGCCATGGCACTCTGGCCTGGGCAACAGAGTGAGATTCTGCCTCAAAAAAAAAAAGAGAGAGAAATTTCATTGTGATCAAAGTAAGCATTTTACTTTTAAAAGTAAAATGTATAACTAATGAAATAAGATAAAAAGTGAAATTAGAATGACAGCAACTCTGTTTTCTCATGTTTTAAATATTTGTCCTATAATGTTTTTGTACTTTGTAGAATTGCCATGAGCTTGAAAAGATGGATCTGGAAGAGTGTGTTCAGGTAAGATTGTGGATTTTAATTCAGAAATACAGTATGATAGAAACTTAGATAATACATGTACAACAGAATGTCCAATTCCTTACCCTAGTGTAGCACACTGTAGTGCTTGGCAGCATTGGTGATTTTCTATTTATCGAGATGTCTTCCAGGCATACCGGGCAGAGGTGTTCATGGTATGTGAGTTAAAGAACTATGAAAATACAATCAGGTTGCCATTAGAGAGAAGAGAGGCCCAAGTATTCAGGCCATAAAGTTGTTAGAATATTTCCTTAGACCAACAGAGTTATACTAGTAAATAATTAAAGCCCCATCACACTGTTCTATAGTAGCATCTTTTTTTACCTTTACTGTACTGTGGTTCCTTATATCAATTGCCCTGGGACCTGACTGTATGAAACTTGGCCCTCAGGGCATACTGACCTCGTTATCATTAATTTTTATTACCAATTTTAAGAGCTTTGACATTATTGATTTAGGGAGAAACTTTGAAGGGGGGATTCCAAAAGCACATTAGGGCAATGAATTTTTTTAATGGTAAAAATAAAGGAAGATACTTCTGTAACTGTAAAGGCCTTTTTTTTTTTTTGAGATGAAGTCTTAACTCCTTACTGTCATCCTGGCTAGAGTGCAGTGGCATCGTCATAGCTCACTGCAACCTCAAATTCCTGGGCTCAAGAGATCTTCTGCCTCAGCCTCCTGAGTAACTGGAACTACAGGCACATGCCAACATACCTGGCTAATTTTTTCTTTTCTTTTTTTTTTTTGTAGAGCCGGGGTCTTTCTCTTGCTCAGGCTGGTCTTAAACTCCTGACCTCAGGCGATCCTCCCACCTCAACCTCCCAAAGTGCTAGGATTACAGGCGTGTGCCAGCCAGGCTACTTTTTTTTTTTTTTTAGTTACTTATTATCCAGACACTTTACCAGCTGTTAGTTCTTATTAAACTAAAACTTGTTCACATCCATTTATCTCTCGTGCATGCCTTAGTGTCCTCTACGTCCTTTCTAGTGTTAGTCCTTCTGAATGGACATGCCTGCCTGTTCCACCCTCTCTCTGTGTTATTTCTCAGCTCTTGTGAAGCTATGTGTAGTAGAAAATAATGATAATCTCAGAGTTGGAGAAGAATTTGAAAAGAAGCACTGATTTACTTTCAGTCCCAAATTATGAAAGGGTGTTCTTCCTCCTTCAGTGTTCACAGTTAACTCAGATTCCAGCAGCACCTGTCTACCACCCTTGGGGAAATAAATGACACCCCAGATATCAATTCTGAGTTGTAGCATGCCTTATTAAAAAGATATTTGGGCTGGGTATGGTGGCTCATGCCTGTAATCCTAGCACATTGAGTGGCTAAGGCTGGAGTATCATTTGAGGCCCAGAGTTCGAGAATAGCCTGAACAACATAGTGAGACCCTGTCTCTACATAAAATTTTAAAAATTATCTGGGCATTGTGGCATGCGCCTGTAGTCCCAGCTACTTGGGATTGGAGCTGAGGCAGGAGGATCGCTGGAACACAGGAGTTGCACTCAGCTGTGATGACGCCACTGTACTGTAGTGCAGAGTGAGAACCCCGTCCCCCCAAAAAAGATTTTCTGGGTGTGGTGGCTCATGCCTATAATCCCACCAAACTCCTGAGGCTGATCAGGGAGTATCCCTTGAGCCCAGGAGTTTAAGACCAGCGTGGGTGACAGAGTGGGGGGAAAAAAAGTTATTTAGATAGGCCAAATATCTAAAAATTTCAAAATGTTCCAACATTAATTTTTTTTCATGGAGCACTGTCTTCTGATTCTTTTCTGTGATGGTTCTAAGGAGACATAACAAAGTCCAATGAGTAGTACTTTCAAAGGACAGATTTTGATTGATTTCAAAAACAAAACAGAAATTTGAACAGAGCTGTCCAAAGACGAAGACTGGAGATGTGTTCAAACCTAGCTTGGGTGGATTCTTACAGAACAGGTTCAGGTAGCCGGTGGGATTTAAACCTTCACATTCTGTTATTTGATGATTGCTTATCAAGCTGTCTAGACAAAAATATAGTCAAAAATGAGGAATGACCCATGATTTTATTTGGAATTATATCCAAAATAAATTTACTTATTTCTTTCAGATAACAGATAGCACATTAATCCAACTTTCTATACACTGTCCTCGACTTCAAGTATTGGTGAGTTTGACTTTCCAAGTTATGTATATTTGTTGGATTTAATCAAAACCCAGTGCTATAGTTTCAGAATCCAGCTCTTAACTTTCCTCTTAGTGTTTGGCCACCATTTGGGGAAGGGATGCTTCTCCAAATTGTCAGCTTACTGAGGACCAAGGTTGGTCCTTGAGTAAAGTGGAAAACTGAGACAGGAACTGGAAAAGTTAAATGTTTTTTCTATCAAACATGACAAATCAAGGCTTTGCTAGGAGAAGTTCTTGCTGTTCTTTTCAGTGACACTTATAGGAAGGCTTTTTGTTTAATTGCTCTGTATCCAGGCTCATTTTTGGTGTTTGGTGGCATAGTACTATCCAAAGTTGGGTCAAAGCTTCTAAGTTTCCCAGAACCAAGGATTTAAGGAAAATCGACAAGATTTGTTTAAGCCTGTCTTATTTTGTTTATGAACTAGTTCACGGTCTTTACATGAATTTGTAAAATATATTTAGAATCACACACAAAAACATTAGTCATTGATTGCCAGAAGCATAACCCCAGCAACTCTAGTTTGCTTCCTCCAATTCCCCACATGGATCTAGTGACGATTCCATATGCATCAAAATCAAACCAAAAAAAGGTCTGCTTTCTGATTTTACCCAAGCCTCTGGCTAGAGGGATGCCGGAAGATATTTCAACATCCTTTCTTGCTCTATTTGGCTGCAGAGTCTTTCTCACTGTGAGCTGATCACAGACGATGGAATTCGTCACCTAGGGAATGGGGCCTGCGCCCATGACCAGCTGGAGGTGATTGAGCTGGACAATTGCCCGCTAATCACAGATGCGTCCCTGGAGCACTTGAAGAGCTGTCACAGCCTTGAGCGGATAGAACTCTATGACTGCCAGCAAATCACACGGGCTGGAATCAAGAGACTCAGGGTAAAGATGGCTACATAACTCTCCAGCTCTGGTGTTCTCAGTACTTTCTTTTCTTTTTTTCATTTTCAGATTTAGATTCTTGTTATATTTACATGGACATTTAGCAAGGAAAAAAATGGAGTGCAAACCTAAAGGTAGATAGTTTTTTCCTGTGGTTCCAGATAGAAATTTAGGAAGAAAATTCTCACTGAAGGGAAGTAAAGTAAGTCTCCTCCCAGCAGAGTCTCTCCCATAACGTCCAGGGCTTAGTTACAACTTCAGAGTGAAAAAAGCACATTTTCGTTCTAAAGGAAAGAAAGGAATAACATAAAGAAAATGTTTGGTTAAATGGGATTTAAGAATTTAATTTGTGTTTCCTTTTGACATCAAACCCTTTTCCTGGGATTCTTATTTTTTAAGATAACACATGAAGTAGATTTTTACCTTTATTTTTTTTGACCCCATCCTCCATAATAGAGAGATCCATGAATAGCCAAATGACTAGAAGACAAGTTGCAAGCAAAGAAGTTATAAAAAGCTGGATGAATCTGTATGTTAGATTATTCTGCTCAAAAGACATTTATTGGAACATCTGCTCCACACCTGGTATAGGAAAGACACTGTGCTTAGTTAGTCCCTTACCACCGACCTCTAAAAAAAAAATCCATGTTGGCCATGTGGCCTTGAGCACATATTAATAAAAGAACACCAAACCTCATCTTGAGTTCCAGTTGGCCTCAGTTCCTCCTCTCCCTTCAGACGTAGAGGACTGAGAGCACATCTGCACTGGGGAGACCTCGCAACTGTATTTCTTCTGCACCAGAAGAGAAGAGCCACAGGTCAATTGGAGCCTCTGCTGTGCCTACGTAGACTAGGGTTCCTAGACCTGCATGACTATCAGTAACCTCTTCCATTTCTGAATCCCGAGCAAATCTGTTATCTGTACTTCAAGTCACTTACCACTTCTCCACTTTAATTTAGTTGTTTATGTGCATGTCTAGACTGTAATTGCCTAAGAGCAGAATCCCCATCTTGATGATTTTTGTACTCCTCTCACTTAACTAGCACATTGTCTTGAACATAGTAGGTATTCAGAAATAGTAGTTAAGACTAGAAGTGTGTTATTGAAAGAAGATAATGAGTTTTTTTTTTAATATCAGAAAAAAACATTGTCCGTGATGACTTGGAAAAACATAATTTTAAATTTACATAGCTTCTCTCAGCAATGGGAATCCAACTGGGAATCCCTTTGGGACAAAATAAGAAATTAGTGTGATGTTTTCCCCCAGTTTTATTATTAAGAAAACAAATACCAAAGTTGTATGAGTTGATCTGGTCATTTAGAACAGCCTAGGACAGAACAGAGTAAAACCCAGTCCTCTCAGCATCCTGAGCAGTGCTTATCCTCTGCCCTGCTTTCAGATTTGTTCATCCCCTTGATGGTTTTTCTGAGAAGCAACATTGTAGTTTCTGTTTTTCCCTCTCTCAGTTACGTTTCTGTCTTGTTTCAGACCCATTTACCCAATATTAAAGTCCACGCCTACTTCGCACCTGTCACTCCACCCCCATCGGTAGGGGGCAGCAGACAGCGCTTCTGCAGATGCTGCATCATCCTATGACAATGGAGGTGGTCAACCTTGGCGAACTGAGTATTTAATGACACTTCTAGAGTTACCGTGGAATCTCTCCAGTGGAGGCGACCCCAGTGTTCTGGGCAAGGGTTACAAAGTGAGGGCAGTGTCCAGATCCCAGAGCCACACATACATACACATACACACCCTCATCCCCATCCACTCACATTTTGTGACCATGAGATTGAAGTTCATGCCGGCTTTATCAAGTGGATTGGTAAAACTTAACCATTCCTGTTGGAGGTGCCCAGAAGAAAATCATAGGCCACAGTGGAGGGAGGGGGCATTCCAGCAAACCCAGTGTTAACTGCTACTGTGGTTTCTTTGTTTTGTCAAAGGGGTTTCTTTGAGGATTTCGGTACAGTAACTGCAGTCCTCCAGTGTCAAGAAAAGCATGGAAAAACAATATATGATGTATCCAGGGACCAGAAGGAAAATTTCTTTGTATCCTAAAAATGGTAGCCATCTATTGTGACTACAGAGCTTCTGTGCTTCCTTGTTTCCATGCCAACATGCTGAGCATGCCCACAAAGAAGGCTCATCCATTCCTCCTGTGTTTTAGTATTTGGCCCAGAGGTTTCCTAAATGGTTGTATTGAAATCGCTGTGGTCCAAATGTGATTACTTACTCACTCAAGTTGTCACTGTCTGTAGCACATGTGTGCACCTGTCTTCCATTCTCTGTTGCTCCCTCCCACACTCTTGCTCAGTCTGTCACCTATTCATAATCTGCCTATTCACACTCAGTTGTTACTCCTTTGCTGTTGTGTTTACAGTTTGCATTTTGGATGGTTAGTTGGGGTTACCAAACATTTATAAAAGACATTATCAATAAATATTTTTTTAATTCTAAAGTTTACCATTAGGGGACCCTGCCTGAATCTTTGCCAATTTGAAAGGAAACTATAACAAAATCAAGAAAAGTTATGAGAGGAAATTGAGCTAAAATGATTTTGATGAAAACAAACTTTGCCTTTTGTATTCTGTTACATCTTGTGACATATGATAATTCGCATGATATGCCCAGTATTCCCCCTGCACATTTTTCCTTCTGTCAGACTCTACCAACTTAATAAGGAAAGAGAGAAATAAATGCATTAGTAGGAAAAAGTGGAATGGCAGATCCGAAAACGGAGCCTGAGAGTCCCTACTACCCAAGTTCAGACATTATTGAGCACTATCATATGTCCACTGAACTCTAGGAGTGATCAGTGGCATCTCTGACCTGTGTCTGTGAGGTGGTTTTGCTTTAGCAGGAATGCTGCTGTAGGAGCTGTGCAGTCTAGCCAGTCGATTGCTCTTGTTTTCCCCCATTTCAGCCTATCAGGGATAGAAGAATGGCCCTATAATAGCTGGTCAACTGTGTGTCAGTGTTAATGATACCATATCTAATACTGGCGCCTCAAAGGACCAGAATCTTTTTAGAACCCATCAGTCATCGCTCTCTCCTGCTCCATACTTCCTCTGAATGAAATACAAGAGTAGCCAAGTGAAGGATTTGGGGCAACCAAAAGAGAACATTGAGAGGAAGTAGGGGTGTCTCTGCCCAGCCTGGGAACTTGGGCACCAGAACTGAGGGGAGGGGTTCAGTACCCAGGACTCAGAGTCCAAGAAGAAGCACTCCCTGACCCAAGAAAATCATAAAGGATGAGGAAAATAAAGTGAGTTTCTAAAGCACAAAAAGTAGATTTCTTAAACCCCAAGATTAGAAACCTCATGTGATTTTTTCATAGGGCAATTTTTATTTTTGGTCTTGTAGGACATTAATGTGAATCCACCATGATACTAGAGCATCTTTCATATCAGCAGTCCCCAACCTTTTTGGTACCAGGGATCGGTTTCATGAACAATTTTTCCACAGGCCAGCGTCGGGAGGCAGAGCTCAGGCAGTGATGCGAGTGATAGGGAGCAGCTGTAAGTCTGTAAATACAGATGAAGCTTTGCTGGCTCACCCGCTGTTCACCTCCTGTTGAGTGGCACCCCCCACCCCCGCCCCCGTTCCTAAGTTTCACGCGAAACAATTTTTCCGTATCTTCCATGGAGTGGAGCGGGGGGCAGTGGAGCTCTGAGGCCCGGTCCCTAACAGGCCACGGCCTGGGGCTTGGGGACCACAGTTCTATATGATCCATACTGTTAAAAGGCTTATTTTGTTTTATTTTTATTTTTTAAGAGACAGGGTCTCACTGTGTTGCCCAGGCTGGCCTCAAACTCCTGGACTTAAGTGATCCTCCCTCCTGCCTAAGCCTCCCAAGTAGCTGGGACTAAAGGCATGTGCCACCACATCTAGCTTAAAAGGCTTGTTTTAATGCTACAGTTGCTGGTTTTACCAGCATATGTAAGAATAAAGTCTGATTTATGTCTCCTGATTTAGAAGGCAATCAGATGAAAGGGTCCTAGAAGTCTATACTACCCTTCATTATTAAGCATATTAAATTTATTTTAAATCCTATTTTATTATGCCCCTTTGAAAGCTCAGGGGTTTTTTTCACTCCTTTTTCCCCTTAGCCTCTTTTTAAATTACCTTATTTTGTTTTGTTTTTGTGAATCATAGTTCCATGTCCATTTTTAAATTACCTTATAAGGAATATATCATTTAAAGTGAGGCCGGGCGTGGTGGCTCACGCCTGTAATCCTAGCACTCTGGGAGGCCGAGGCGGGCAGATCATTTGAGCTCAGGAGTTCGAGACCAGCCTGAGCAAGAGCAAGACCCCGTCTCTACTAAAACAATAGAAAGAAATTAGCTGGACAACTAAAAATACATAGAAAAAATTAGCCAGGCATGGTGGCACATGCCAGTAGTCCCAGCTACTCGGGAGGCTGAGGCAGTAGGATCACTTGAGCCCAGGAGTTTGAGGTTGCTGTGAGCTAGGCTGAAGGCATGGCACTCTAGCCCAGGCAACAGAGTGAGACTCTATCTCAAAAAAAATAATAATAAAGTGAAACTCACTCTCCTGGCCATATACCCCACACATACAAATATACACATGCATATACATGTACTTCCAGATGTAGTTGATAATATTCAGATGCCTAGGTCACTCATTCAAGCAGAACTAGAAGAGAAACATATTTAGGGTCCATCTGCTCTAAAGTATAAGTTTTTTGGGTTTTTTTAGTGCCTGAACAAATTGACCATAAAACCTGGATTGATTAGTGAATATGGATTTGGATTGCCTAAGTTCAGGCTGTTAAGGTACTTCTTTACTTAAAAGAAATGATAAGTTTAAAAGACCCTATTCACCAGTTCTTGAAGATCTTGGAAATGCTGTGTTTCTCTACACAGAGGGTATACCCACATGCAGGTCCATGTGGACTTGGGCCCATGCTCCCTGCTGTTAACCTGTCTGGGCCATGAATAGAGTCAAGTGAAAGAGAACAAAGACCCGGAGTGTGCAGCACTGGCTTGTATGTGGTCAGGCAGGAGCCTTGTTCCTTTCTCAAGAAAATTTCAAGACCATCAAGCTTGGAAAGAAATACATTTTTAATGCTGATTTGCAGCCTGTGCCAGCTGAGGAATATGCTAGGATATTGAGAACACAGAACATGGTAAGTTTTAGTCATGTGTTAAGTATCCTGCTGCCTGAACATAATGCTTCCTGTCTCAACATCCAGAATACTTTTGAAAATTCCATAAGACTTAATGTAGGAAAAAATTCTCCCTAGGAAAAGCTTCATTGTTGGTCCAATTGTCTAATTCAATAGCCACTCAGAATATGCCTTTCGTAATGAGAAAAATATGGATTGAACAGAGAGAAGAGATTTGGAATAGGTAAGAAGGTACCTCAAAGCTAATGCCATAAACTGCAGTTGGGCCAGGAGGAGGAATTATTGTTGTCTCTCTGGAGAAAATTCTTTCTCACTCTGTCACCCAGGTTACTTTACAGTGGTATGAATCATAGCTCACTCAAACTCCTGTTCTCAAGTGATCCTCCTGCCTCAGCCTCCGAAAGTGCTGGGATTACAGGCGCGAGCCACTGTGCCTGGCCTAGAGAAAGGTTTTGAACATCCACATCATCTCTTTTCTAAGCAGCCTTTCCACCTAGTCTCATCCCTTATATTTTCCAGCATTATTTGCTACATCAGTGTCTTCTACGTCTCCTTCATAGGCCCTACTGGGGCGTTTCGAGCTCTTTTTTTTTTTTTGCGTCGATGTCTATCATTTCCTTCCCAGACCCGTCCTTGCCCTCTATATAAAGCCTCCATCTCACCACCAGTAATGCTGCTGATTTATTCTCAAATGTCTCCAGTCTAGCTTCTTCTTTTAATCCTTGTCCTGATGCAGGGGCTATTGTGGGCAGCCTTAAATTCAGTAACTATCAGGTGGCCTGGGCCATTTTTCACTGGGTGGTCTTTGATACTTACTGGATTCGAATTGAGTTTAAAATCAATCTGTTGGATATGAGGAATAGGGGATCTGGCTTCAGCCTTTTTTCCAATATTTGGAATATGAAAGCACATTGTGCTTTAAGTAAAAAATGTTTTCTCCTCCTATTCTGCTCTTTACTGGATGTAAAAGTTTTCCTCAAATCATTTTTATAAATTTCCAGTGTGATTTCCATATCCTTGAAGTTGGTTTAGCAGACATATAAGTCAGTAATTTCACATATCCTTTGTATCAGACATTTTAGAGTGAAACATGGTAAATAATTTTATGATGCTTTATTTTGGGCTTTCTAGACTATTTGAATAGTTCAGTATATCCATAATGCTTCAGTAGCCAAGTTCTTTTATTTCTTTTTTTTTTTTAAACTTCAGAATAATACAGGAATACAAATGTTTCTGGTTACATGCATCACTTTTGTAATGCTTGTGTCAAGGCTATAAGTGTCCCCATCACCCAGATAGTGTTCATTGTACCCATTAGGTAGGTTTTCACCCATCCCCTCCTCCCCCTAATTTCTTGTAATTGCCATGTAAAATGCATTCTTACTGACGTGATAGCCCACTAATGCCATGGGAGACTAAACAAGGTATGTGATGGAAGCTGTCTTGGTTTTAAGTTGTTAGGCAGTGTGAAAATGTCACTGGAAAGAAGAGAGTGGTTTCCATTCCAGCCTGCCTGTGTGGGCAGTATATTCTTGGGCAACTGTGTTTTGGGGAGAAGAAGAACACTCGAAGATCGTGGTTGACCCTTGGCCATTTATTGTGCTGAAAGTCACAGACTGCTCATGCCAGTTGTCACCAATGAAAGGAGTGGTTTAAAGGAAATTGCTCTATTCTGCCTTTTCCCTCCTTATGTGCATGATTTAAGGGTAGGTTTATATCCCTGTTGTGTTTTCTGGCTGAACAGACTCTTCCAGTAGTATGCTCTGAGCTCTGGAACATTTTACAAGAAGATTGCTGCCTGTGTCTGCCCGCCAATTCTAGGACCTTTAACCACCCCAAACCCAGGCAATGTGAATTAGCCAAGTCTTGTTTGAGAAGTGTAGGATGTTTGGTTGGAGGTCTTGAGGCAGAACCTCTCTCCCCTTACAATGATTTTGGACCAAAGAATTCTAAAGCAGTAGGAGGATAAGGGGAAATACGGAATCCTAGCCTCTCCTCACCTTTATTTCTATGACAAATCTTAATTATCTGATTGGAAGATACAGAAAGCTGTCTAAGACCATGTCAATAGGGTATTAACCCAGGTAATTTGGGAATAAAATTCAGCTATAATTGATATATCAAAACGCCCTAACTTTGACGTCTTGATTTTCCAGCAAGAATATATGCTGCTCAAGCAACAGCTACTCTAACCTTCCCTTCTCACTTAGGACAACTTGCTACTGCCAGAAACTACCATGTGAGGCAAGTGAGTTTTTTACATGAAGGGCTTCTGCAGCTTCCCCCTCAAGTCAGGTCTACCTGTTTTATCTA